ATCGCTGAGCCGGCATGCATCCTGAAGATTTCATCAAAAATCCCAAGCCTGAAAAAACAAAAGGCGCGGTTCCGCTGTGCTACTCAACATCTATTATGAGTTCGCAGTTTGCCCACATGCCATCCACCGCATTCGGCCCGCAAACGCCCAGGGGAGGAGATACATGAAGAGCACCGTAACCTCCGAGGGCCTCGAGGCAGCCATGTGTTCAGAGCAGCTCAAACATGCAAAGGTGGAACAAGTCCGGGAACATGCTTTCATTTTTTGGAGGTGGGGATGCTGGATTCTATCTTCTTTAGTTCTTCTGTGGTGAAGAGTGCAAACCCCACATCCCTATCAACCAAAAGTTTTCCCGTACATCACCCGGAAAACCAACCCAAACCCAATGACATACTGATTGGCGGTTTCCAGCCCGGCTAAATGTATGTTCGTTCATGGTCCATGGCGATCATCAAAGAAGCGATGGTATTTCAATCCACCAACCACGTGTCATGGGTTTACTGCTCACTTTCTAAATAGGATAAACATATTTATAGATAACTATATCTGGAATACCCCTGATTATCGATGATTATCGCATATGTCCAAATTTACTTGTTTTATTATGTTTTATTTCCATTTTTAATACTTTCCTGATCTTCGCAGTCCCCAGCTGAATCAAAAATCTAGCGACCACCAGGAATCCCCACACTTCGAAGTCTGGCGAGGTGAAGTCGCATTGTCGGAAGGTGCACCTTGTAAGCAAAGGTCTTGGTGGCACCCCATGGTTCAGCTAACAAAAAATGTTTTAACCCACAAACATGGTAGCGCAATGGAATTGTGTATAACATGTACCTAATCTTATTTGGTTTGTAAGTAACCTTATCAGGAATTGTGGGTGTATACCTATAAATCATATAGTCTTTACTGTACCATTTAACTTCTAACTGGGGCGCACCAACTTTCAGAAGTATGTCCAACATAGAGTTAGTTGCCTTTGGGTTCCGGCGTCTTTTTGAAGGTAAAGTAAAGGTTAATATATGTTAACATCATGCGTTTCATGGTCCCTTGTTGGTAGACCCCTTCCTCCGTTTTTATCCCTAGAAACCTTGCTTTCAAAGTATGGGCCCTGTTCATATTGCAGCCCGTATGGCTGGTTTAGTAAATACGGTGAAGGATAGGGGGACAACCAACAAAATGCATTGACAGATCCAACTACCACCAAGGAGCACCAACAAAAGTTTAGATTTGACCATCGCCATGGGAATTCAACCACCAAGAGCGGTGGGTGACCTAACCAACCAAACCAAGTGGAGCCAACCGCTCGCCCTTTGACGAGAATGGTGATGCTACACTTCTCTGAAAATTGGAATGGGCTACAATAATAAGTACAGTAAGCTCCCACAGCTGAACGCTAATAATTAAAACTTGCAAATTCCAAGTGCAAGAAAAATCTGCATCCCAGTTGTCATCGAAAGGCCACAGTTTCAAGATGTTTCAAGGGTCAAATAAGGCCAGTAGTGCTTGTCTGGACAACATTCCTTTACTCCAAGTGATCCCCGCCGTGCCACATTATTTTGCCATAGTTTCTGACATCTCATCCTGAACTAAATATGGCATTTACGTTCTGACATCCTATTCTGGCAGTCTATCTAACATTCTATTCTGGCATCCTTTTTGGCATCTATTCTGCCATTTTCTCTGGCATTCTATCTGGCATCTATTCGGACATTCTCTCCGACATAGGCATTTAACCGCCAGCTCGCGGTTGAGGTCCGGCAGTGCCCACTGAGATCTGGAGCTCACAGTTGCAATCCCAGGCAAGAAGGAGGAAGGAGAAGGCAACTCTGATCAAATCTAGGGACCCCCACCTGGCAGGTGGGAAAAATTGATAAAAATGGAACGAACCCTTTACAAACAGGTGACCTGAAGGCGTTCAATCACTGACACTGACACCACCGTAGTATGTAATATCATTGGAAAGGCGGGTCCGCGACGGGATTTGCAATATTGGTGATTTAAAGGCCAGGCATTCGGCTCCCCAATGTCCATTGGGTTCCCAAGCATGTGGGCCACGGCGCTTTCTTCTGCATTAGCTTCGGCTTGCCTGGGAAACCCAGAATTTGGTTGGCAATTGCCTGCGACATTGTAAACAATGGTAAGATAAGATAGATGTGATTTTTGGTGTATTTGCGTATTTGGAGACAAAACACAAATAGGATCAACATACAAAGGTATATCCCACATCACTTGAAAGTGGTCACGGGCCCTTTTTCCACTAACCACTAGCTTCACCCACCCCTCGAACCTTTCTGATAATATTATTGCCTTTGCCTCTACTATATTGAAATTAATAAAATTGCAAGGAGAACGCTAGGCAATTGACACATTCCTCTAGTCAAACAATCGTGACACAATTCATAACAAGGATACGGGCACAAAACTTTCTCTGATGTGCCAAGGCCACCCTCGCCGCGACCCCACGGCACTGACCGTGCACCTCAAAATCTCGAAGTTGATGTCCAGACCTCCAAGCAGAATGGACGAAACCGTCGCGATGACACTTAAAGGGCAAATCTTTACTGGCGCATCCTCCTTCGAATTAGGGGGGAGGTGTCGCACCAGGCTTTTTGTAGTATAAATCCCTGGGTCTTTGAAAAACCCTACAAAAAGGGTCGGTTTTTACGAGTTTTGGCCCTTACAAAAAGCATAGGGTTTTAGCACCCTCATTCGACTTCAAACACCCACCTCATTTTATAAGGTGACGACTTTCTTCCAAATATGGAAGTCGTACATTTGCCGATGACCTTTTTATAAGGAGTTGTGATTTTAGATGGCGTTTTCAGGCATCATTTTGTAAGGACACAACTTCTGGTTCCCTGTTTCTAGTTTTCCCGGACTCGTTGATTTTCAAGCAGCCTTTTTGTAAGGATTCCATTTTTTGCCACTTTTTGGTTTGCTTTATATTTTTTGTACTTGTGCTTCTTTGGCCTCATTGCCTACCAGAAATCCTTTTATGATGTCTCGCGTTTGTATTATCACATGAGTACCAAAAATAAAAATAAAAATTGAACACGAAAGAACATGTACAAAAAAAACACATAAGATAACCATGAACATCGTCATACTTACAACTTGCAAAAGATCTTTTGCCATCCTCGGCCAACACAACACCAAGAAGAAAGTTGGTGCCTCCACCAAATCCAAAAATTGCTGCCATGGCTGCCCTAAAACTTGAACTGTGCCTTACAAAATGACAAGGTGCTGGTAGCCCCAGGAAGCTTCCTAAAATAAACACTCCTCCCCTGTAGGGTAGCAACACCTTGGCATTTTGTAGTGAACCTAACCTATATAGTACCTATATGGAGTCTAAATGAGGTTTGTGTAGCTCTGGTTACCTGGATGGATCTTCAGGGATAGCTACTGATTTGCATATGCACCTGTATGCATATGTATTGAGGATGATCAACCCACCCTTTTTGTAAGACACACCTGGCCCCCTGCCATTTTGTAAGAGGCTACCCATTAACACTTCTAGTTTCAAAGATAAGGATGATCAGGAATGTTATAACGTGAAAAAATGAGTCAAAATATCATATAGACATATATAGACTCATATAGATTCATATAGATTTCATATAGATTTATATAGAATCATCAACGCCGAGTGATGGCAAATCTGGTGCACTCCCAACACCAGAAAGCCAACTCACCAAAAGAACCGCAAGAAGCCACGCCATTGGGATGTGTCAGGGCTGTGGGCTGGGGCCTTTTCGGAAATAGCCAAAACAGCTATCAAATGATTGAGGCGAATCAAAAACATGTACAAATCTGAACAATACTTTGTATCAATGCCTAAAAAGCATATATTCTTACAAAAAGGCTCTTCTAGTCTTGACGACATCTCCTTACAAAATGTCATTGCACACCCTGCTGAATTATTTTTTGTTTTTTTTTGATGTTCAAAAACAGCATCTTGAGCTTACAAAAAGCCTCAAAAAGACAAACTCGATGGTCTTATAAAATGACTTGGCACCTCAAAACTCTTACAAAATGAACACTTGAAAATCCACAACTTTGCCTTTTGGGTGCCCTGTTACAAAAAGGCCTGGTTAGGGGTCTTTTTGTAACTACAAAATGACCCTATATAAACCATTTGTAAGAGGGTCGACACCTTCCATTCTGTAAGGGAAATTCGATCGGGGATACTGGCGCCAATTCTTTCTTGAAAAAAACATTTGAAACACATTCTACGAAATGCACTGGTATGAACTGACATACAGCTTGCCACACTATGGACCACATAACATATATTGCGAAGTTTTAAGGTGCGAATCCATTGGCATAGTTTCGGAAGCACGGGCACGTGAACTGAAGCATGTTTTCTGGAATACATGTATTGAGGCGCTTGGCTCAAAATACTCATCAATCATAGCCGGGGAAAATGCAGCCGGCCCAAGATAATTGGTGTACTAGTGGACTAGCCAGTTTTTCTGGGTTGTTTGAAGGTACGGAGCAAATAAATTTAGAACACTTGGCGTTCCACAGCCGCCGGCCTATGGCGTGAGCACCGCACCTCACCGCAGGTTCGGATCAATGCTGTTGCTAGCGTCCGTCTACATCTCCATTTTCAGGGGTAGCGCATTCATCAGCCGAAGAAATTTTGCTTTGTTGTTGATTGTTTGATTAAATTTGACCGACTGACTTGTATATATGCTTGCTCAAATACAAAACAGTGGCGACTTACTTGGTTCAATGATCAATGATATTCCTTGTTTTTGAACCCAGGTGTGCACATGCAACTGCTAAATCACGCCCTAAGCATGCCATGGACAATGGTGTTTGACTGCCACTTGCACAAATTGTGCGGTACGACATGGCACACCTTAAACGCAGGTGGAATGCACAAATTGCAGCCCCACAATCTCCAGTCCATCGCCCCACCAGCTTCGGGGCAACAGCTTCGGGCCATATCAGGCATCCAGCTATGACAAGCGGAAGATTTTCATGGGCAAGAGGTATCAGCGCTTGGTGATAGCCATGCGCACCAAAGCCCTTGGCATCTGCCCTTGGCACCCCAACTTGGCCGCTTCAAGGCAGAAGCCGCCGAGGCCGCAGCCCAAATCACAGGCAACGTCCTGTGGGCCAACCTTAGGTGCCAGCAAACAACGCAGGCAATTTTCAATTTTACAAACCCGATGGCCCCTCAGTAAACATCCCCAAACAGAGCGTGTGTGTGTGTGTGCGTGTGAAAGAATAATGTATGATAAGGTTGAGATTGATGCTTTGATGATGATGAGGATGAGGAGGAGGATGATAATATTGCCCACGAGGACATTGAGGATGATAATGGTGAGGATGATGAGGTAGAGGATGATGATGTTGCAGAAGATGAGGAGGATGACAATGTTGAGGATGATGATGTCAAGGGTGAAGATGTGGATGTGGAGAATCATGATGTTACAGGAGGAGGAAGATCATGATGTTGAGGATGACGATGTGGAGGTGGAGAACGGATCCGAAGACCGTGGCCCACACCTGCGCAGTCAAAATGCACTTGGGCACAGCCCACGAGCCTTCTTATGCGAGAATTTACAGGGAAAATGTTCCGCCCCAGATGGAAAATGTCGCGCCTCAGGTGGATCCCGAGACCATGACCCACACTTTGCGCGAGCCTGCGCAATCGAAATGCACATGGACATGTCAGAAGAGCCAACTTGCGCAGGAATTTACCAGATAAATCCCGCGCCCCAGATGCATCCTGAGACCGCGACCCACACTTTGTGCGAGCCTGCATAGACGAAATGCACACGGAAGGGTCACAAGAGCCATCTTACGCGGAAATCTACAAGGAAATTGCCGCGCCCTGGGGGCGCGCGACACCTGTTTTGCGCGAGCCTGCGCAGTCGACACATGGACATGTGACAAGGGCCATTTTATGCCGCAATTTACAGGTAAAAGGCCGCAGACCAAGAGCAAGCAAAACTCGCGGCGCAGACTTCGCGCGAGCCTGTGCAATCGTATGGACATGGAACAAGGATGAACAAGGGCCATTTTGCAGAAATTCAAAGGGAAAATCCCGCGCCCCAGAGCGAGCACCTCGATCAAGCACCGGCCTCAACCCTTACTGTAAGAATCCCTCAGTGCGGATACGCTGCTTGGGGAAAACGATCAAATTAAGGGGGGTCGCTATTATATAACAACTAATTCCCCACCTGCCAGGTGAGGATTGTTAGATTTTATCAGAGCGCTCTTCCTCCGCCTCCTCGTCCTCCTCCTCGTCCTCCTCCTCTTCCTCGACTGCTGTCCTCTTCCTCCTCGTCCTCCTCCTCGCCTCCTCCTCCAGTTTCTCCTCGACCATGTCTGCATCAACTTCCACCTGCACTTCCGCCTTGTGAACTCTTCGCCAAGCTCTTTGCCAACTTTCTTCGCCGACTCTCTGCGCCAAGCTCTTTGCCAACTTCCCAGCTCAGTGTGCACCGCTGGACCTCAACCTGGGACCTTCCCAGCTCAGTGTGCACCGCTGGACCTCAACCTGGGATCTGCCCAGCTCAGTGTGCACCGCTGGACCTCAACCGGGGACCTGCCCAGCTCAGTGTGAACCGCTGGACCTCAACCCGGGACCTGCCCAGCTCAGTGTGCACTGCTGGACCTCAACGGCCAGATAGATTGCCAGAAGATATGCCAGATAGAATGCCAGAAGCAATGCCAGAACATATTGCAGAAGATATGCCAGGTAGAATGCCAGAAGATATGCCAGATAGAGTGCCAGAAGATATACCAGAACATATTGCAGAAGCTATAACATATTGCAGAAGCTATGCCAGGTAAAAAGCCAGAAGATATGCCAGATAGAATGTCAGAAGATATGCCAAAAGGTATGCCAGATAAAGTGCCAGAATGTTTGCCAGAACATATGCCAGAAGATTTGCCAGATAGAATGTCAGAAGATATGCCAGAAGATATTGCAGAAGATATGCCAGGTAGAATGCCAGAAGATATGCCAGATAGAATGCCAGAAGATATGCCAGATAAAATGCCAGAAGATGTCAGATAGAATGCCAGAAGATTTGCCAGTAACACAACGTATAGATGTCATGGTGGGGGTAACTCGAAGTAAACTAATTTATGTTGTTTTTTACCTCTATTCTCTTCTGATTCTTCGGGTTTTTGGGCATTGATGGGGCCCTATGGCGCACATGATGGTGGGATGCGATGGGATAGTTCCAAAAGCGGAGAAATGCAAGGTAACTGCAATACTCTCACAAGACCGTGATAGTACAAGGATGCTCCGCAGCATTTTTTTGCTGCGGTATCCCGCTGTTCTTAGCAGGATATCAGGATGGAAACACCGTGTGCTCACCATGGTTGCGCAAGCTTTGCTGCCCTAAATGATGTCTGTGCTGTCAAACCTCCGTGCAGAGAGCCGCAATTCCCTTGGCTGCTGCCTCCACTTTGCTGGGTATGGAACTTCAACTTATTTATTGGGTAATGTAAACGCATCATCACACTGGCAATCGTAAGTGCCCGTCGTAAGTGTCCAAATTACCGTGCGTGATGTTGAGGACAGAGAATCTCTGTGCCCAGGATTCTTCTGATTCAATCTTGTGTCTCCACACCGTGTTGGCTGGTATCCCAGCTTGTTCTCGTTCTATAATGCATCATTGTGATTGTGGGATTCGCCAGTCGCAACCTAGTCTCTTGGGTGTGAAGATTTAGCAAAGCATGGCTGTTGAATTTATAAAAAATAAAAAAACTTAAAAACCTAGATTGGGTATGCGCTCAATGTCCCATGGCCAAAGCCCTCCAAGTTCCAACTGAGATCCCCAAGCATTTGCGAAAGCACAAGCCTGCTGATGTGCCACCTGGAAACGGTGCAGGTTGTTCTAGCTACCGGGCAATGCCAGGGGAAAATATGAATCTGGCTGAACCGTATTGGGTTTGTCGGTTGGTAAGTTCCCGTGTTAACCTTACATTTTGGGGGTATACGCCAATTCCAAACACACCCATATTTGCGTACCAACCTTGCAATTGGATGTTGTTTTCAAGGATAGCTGCTCCTATTGTATTTACACACTACCAACTTTTGCTGGTCACCGGATCTATGCCAATCACTATCACTATCGCAATGCTGGTGATGCGTTTTCGTTGAACGCCTCAACTTCTGGAAAACACATGTGCTGACATGAACGTATCGGATCAAAAAATATGCGTTATATGCTTTTAAATTATTTGGCTTTTGGGCAAAACAAATAATAACAAATACATATTTGCTTCTGAAACCCATCGTCTCCAGGGGCCACCATTTACGTCTGACATCCGCCTGTGGGCAAGTAATCAAAGGCACGAACTTCCCAGCGTAGGGAACCTTGACATGGGAGGCAATATAAGCAGTCGCCGGGTTGGCTGATCAGAAAACGAAAGGAAAATTTGTGGAAAATCAATGCCCCCACGCGGTTGCCATCCAATGACGTGAATTTTCTTGGGCCGTTCCTTCTGTGCTTCTATGCACACGTCTTCTGACAAATGCAGACAATCTGGGAAGCTGGTGATGATACTGTGCTGAACTTACGAAATCTGCATAAGTCAACTAAAATTCAAGTGGGTTCGCCGTTCAAAGTCCTTCAAACGCACACTATCCTGTGCATAATAGCTATGGAACTGACGACTCAGGGGTTCCCAGGAGGCACCTGCTCCAGAAATAGGTCTTCACCAAAGTCCGCCATGCACCTCAAGAGATTCCCCTATCAAAGCTTATATCCAGCAGCTTTGAATGCCGGAAAGTCAGAAAACATAGGTCCCAACTGATTGTGGGTTGGGTTGTGCTTGGTTCAAGCTGGATCAGACATGTACAACCAGCTGAATGAGACAGGCAAACTGCCCAAATGCCTTAGTCAACATCAGCACCACTTTGACCGCACAATGCGTGTGCCCAACAAAGCCAGCTCTTGCCATAAGAAAGCCTCAAGCACAAGCATGCCCATGTCAAACCGTCAGTTACCAGTTGCCAAATATGAGGGCGGCGCCGTCCACTCCTCTTAGGTTGAACATCTGGCTCTTCTCCGAAGTTCTTCCGAAGCCATCACTATAGAGCACTACGATGTAAGGAATTGGCCTGCTAAGAAAACACAATTTGGTAAGTGCTAGTGCTGGATCCCACCTGCTGGTACTACCAAAATCTTGCAATTCTAATGCATCGGGTTCTGCTTCACTTTGAAGATCTTTGGGTTGGTCTCACCCCTTGCTGAAATTCATTTGTACCAACAGGATCCAACAGGGCTATATGCGTAGATGCGCGCCCTGCATGGAGCCTACTTGTTGCTGCAGTCATGCGACAAGCAGTCTGCAACCAAAAAAATGTTGGACAGGAACAGGAACAAGGGTGGTGCCCCATAGTTACAATTTGGTATGCCCTTGCCGAAGCTAAAGATCTTCGGTGATATATCTGTATTTGAACAAGAAACTCCGTGAGCAGCAAACAAGAGACTCCGTGAGCAGCAAGTAACTCATTCGAATGGCCAGTTGCTGATCTAAATGTGTTCACACAAAGTAATTAATGAACTAAATTTCCGCACCGGTCAAGCCTTGCCACAGCTTTCCAAACCACAGAACATGTGAGAGACTTGTCCGACTTCTGTGAAAAAAATGGTTTCACTGTGGATGCAGCAATGTGCATTCCACATCAACCGGGAGAAATTGTGTAAAACAACCTGCTCCCCACCTTGCACTTCTCGCTCAGACCCACGTCACTAGCACCTGCGCTCCTGAGCCCGCGTGTGCTGTCGCCCCGTCGCAGAACCAAGCATTCAGCGTGAAACCCTCGCATGACATGTTCTCGGCAGGAGAACTGCGTTCAAAACACTTTGGACTGGGTTCCAAATGGATTTTTTGGTAGGTTTGCGTTTGCGCCCAATACTCTTCGAGAGGTCTCAAGAATCTTGGGGATGCAAGTGGCTAAAATGTTTACTGTAAATAAAAAGGAAGGAAACCAAATCATTCCGGATAAAATTGCGACACAACCTTCACGAGTTTTGATTCAAGTTCGCGAAAAGATGGGGCCAGGAAAACAGAAATCACTGTAAATTATGGCCCGCAGCTTGCCCAACCACATGAAAGCATGACATGCTAAAATGGTCCTGCATGAAGACATACGGCCGGACCCGTCGATTCCCCAGTGTTTTCTTTCATCAATGGGCTATGCTTAACCAGAGGGCGCTGGCAATGGATTTCTGCACGGGAATCGCTGGACATGATGCGTGTCTATAGATGTGCCTCTTCAGCTATCTATCTATATATTTATATTTATGGTTGCTGACCGCTCAACGCTATTTCAAAAACTGGACGTGGGAGCGCGCCACAGACTCCAAACATGGAAGTAGCATAAAATAATGACGCATTGCACAACCGATTACATGAGTGTTGCAGCAATGCTAGCTAATTAAAGACCCGTCACGGAATGGACTGATGCACGAAGCCGGGCAACAACTCCCACGCCGCAAGCTTTAATGAGCAGAAAGTACAGACTTTGTAGGCTCAGACGCGGGCCCCACCCACACCACAAGATTGAAATCCATTCAATGCGTATCGAAAAGTTATCCATGTGGTGTAAATATGGAACATATTCTTCCATGCATGCAATGACCACCTGGAGCCAGGGAATCTGAGTTTCCGGCAGTTGCTGCGTGCAAGGTAGGAACCGCGGGATGAAACGTGGTTCTAAGCGCCCTGCACAGCTAACTGGTCCCACACTGTCAAGGTGATAATTTGTCTATATCCACACTAACCTGGATGTGCCTGACCCTGCTGATAACCACCCGAATAAGATTAGATTGGATTAGGGTAGATTAGATAAGATTCGATTAGATTAGATAAAATCAGATTAGAAAAGAAAAGAAAAGATAAGATAGATAGATAGATAGATAGATAAAAAGAAAGAAAGATAGATAGATAGGTAAATAGATAGATAGATAGACAGCTAGACAGATAGAGAGGCAAAAAGATAGATAGATATAAAAGAAAGATAAATAGATAGATCGATAGATCGATCAATAGATAGATAGATAGATAGGTAGGTAGATAGATAGATAGAGAGATAGATAGACCGATAGATAAATAGATCGATAGATGGATTAAACAGATGAGAAAATATATAAATAGATGAGGTAGATTAAAAACATTAGATGGAATAGAAAGATGAGAAAGATTAGATAGACTAGAAAGATTAGGTAAATAGATAGACAGATGGATGGATAGACAGATAGATAGATAGATAGATAGATAGACAGATGCATAGATAGATAGGAAGGTAGATAGATAGATAGGTAGATAGATAGATAGATAGGTAGAAAGGTGGATAGGCAGACAGCTAGATAGGAAAAGAAAGGAAAGCACATGATAGGAAAAATAAAAGAAGAATAGAAATGGATAGGCAGGATCTATAGATGGATACATGGATAGGTAGGATTGGTAGAAATAGGAAAGGCAGGAACCACAGGATAGAAAGGATAGAAAGGAACGATAGGAAAAACAGAAAAGACAGGTAGAAAGGATAAGAAGACAGAAAGATAGATCGAAAGAAAGACAGACAGATAGATACATTGATTGGACAGACAGATAGATAGATAGGAAATAAAAGGACAGGATAGGGTAGGATAAGGTAGGAAAGATAGAAAGGCAAGATAGGACAGCTAGCAGCTAGGAGACAAAGGATAGATAGGATAGATAGGAAAGATGAGAAAGGTAAAAAGGTAGATAGATAGACAGATAGATAGATAGAAGGATAGAAAGAATGACAGATAGGTGGGCAAAAAGAAGGGAAAAACATAAATGAAAAGAAAGGACAGAAGGATAAATCAATAAATGTTTTTTTAATGCAGTAGATTGATAAACAGAAAAAAAGGAGAGAGAGAGAGAGAGAGAGGAGAGACAGATAGGCTAGGATTTGTAAATAAAAAGATATGTAGATAGATAGATAGATAGATAGATAGATAGATAGATAGATCGATAGATCGATAGATCGATAGATCGATAGATCGATAGATCGATAGATCGATAGATCGATAGATCGATAGATCGATAGATCGATAGACCGATAGATCGATAGATCGATAGATCGATAGATCGATAGATCGATAGATAGATAGATAGATAGACAGATGGGGAGATAGATAGATAGATAGATAGACAGATGGGGAGATAGATAGATAGATAGTAAGATAGTAAGATAGATCGATCAGATCGAAGATAGATAGATAGATAGATAGATAGACAGATAGATAGATAGATAGAAAGATAGATCGATAGATAGATAGACAGAAAGATAGATAGACAGATAGATAGATAGATCGATAGATAGATAGATAGATCGATAGATAGAGAGATAGATAGAGAGATAGATAGATAGAAATATAGAAAGAAAGATAGATAGGTAGACAGAAAGACAGACAGATAGACAAACAATCATAGATAGATAGAAAGATAGAAAGACAGAAAGATACATAGATAGACAGAAAAACAGGCAGGAAGAAAGAAATAAATATAGATCGATAGATGGATAGAGTGTTTAGATAAATGTTAAAATAGAGATAGATGAGATAGACTAGATAAATTAGTTAGACTAGATAGATGAGATAGATTAGAAAGATTAGATGGATAGGTAGATAGACAGACAGATAGATAGATATATAGGAAAAAAACGGAAAGCAAAGGATAGGAAAGGGTAGGAAAGAAAAGAAGAGAATAGAATAGGACAGATAGGATCGATGGACGGAGACATGGATAGGTAAAGTAGAAAGGAAAAACTGGTTAAATTGGAAAGACAGGAACCACAGGATAGATAGGATAGAAAGGAACGATAGGGAAGACAGAATAGACAAGATAGAAAGATAGATAGGTAGATAGGTCGATCATTGGATAAACAGATTGGACGGACAAATCCACAGATAGAAAAATAGAGAGATAGATAGACAGAAAGATAGATAGATAGTCAGGTAGATTGATAGGTAGGATAGATAGGATAGAAAGGAAAGAAAGAATAGATAGATAGCCAGGTAAACAGGTAGATAGACAGATAGAAAGGGTAGACGGATAGGATGGGTAAAAAGGAAAGATACGATAGGAAACAAAGGGGAGAGGTATATAGGACAAATAGGCTGGATAGAAAGGATAGGGAGGGTAGAAAGGATCGATAGGATAGATAGAATACAAAGGACAGATAGGAAAGAGAGGACAGACAGACAGATAGATAGATAGGTCGATCGATAGATCGATTGATGAATAGGTAGGTGGGTAGATAGATAGATAGATAGATAGATAGAAAGAGAGGCAGAAAGAAAGATAGATAGATAGATAGGTAGATAGATCGATAGATAGATCGATAGATAGATAGATAGATAAATAGACAGATGGACAGATAGATAGATCGATAGATAGTTAGATAGATAGAGAGATAGTTAGATAGAAAGATAGAAAGAAAGATAGGTAGGTAAACAGAAAGACAGACAGATAGACAAAAAATGAAAGATAGAGAGAAAGATGGGTAGGTAGACAGAAAGACAGAAAGATACATAGATAGACAGAAAAACAGGCAGGAAGAAAGAAATAAATATAGATCGATAGATGGATAGAGTGTTTAGATAAATGTTAAAATAGAGATAGATGAGATAGACTAGATAAATTAGTTAGACTAGATAGATGAGATAGATTAGAAAGATTAGATGGATAGGTA